TGCCTTCCTACCAGTATGACCAGTGTCTCATCTGTCATTATCAGTACATCCCAGAGGCAGCCTGTTATTGGGGCAAGAAAGGAATCAAAAGTAGGTGGACTAACAGTTGACTAAACCTGATCAAGTCTTGCCTCAACATAACTGGTCACTTAATAACTACTCTAAGGCATCAAGTTCTTGCTATGGTTTCAAACAAAATACTTTCTATATGAAAAACCCATCAAATCCTTCTACTTCATATTACATGACAAAAAGGAGCATCTTGTGCTGTTCTACCACCACTCTCAGTTTAATAAAGACAACAAGAATTCCGGGACAGGCGCAGTGGTTCATGCCTGTAACTCCAACATTTGAGAGGCTGAGGCAGGAGGATCACTTGAGGCCAAGAGTTTCAGACAAGCCTGAGCAACACAGCAAGACCCTGTCTCCACAAAAAAAAAAAAAGTTTTTTAACTAGCTGGGCATGGTGGCTTATGCCTATAGAACCAACCACTCAAGAGGCTCAGGTGGGAAGATCACTCAAGCCCGGGAGTTCAAGGTTACAGTGAGCTATGATCACACCACTGCACTCCAGCCTGGGCAGCAGAGTGAGAATCTGTCTCAAAAAAGCCAGGTGCGGTGGCTCACGTCTGTAATCCCAGCACTTGGGGAGGCCAAGGCGGGTGGATTGCTTGAGGTCAGGAGTTTGAGACCAGCCTGGCCAACATGGTGAAACCCCATCTCTACTAAAAATACAAAAAATTAGCCAGGCGTGGTGGTGTGAGCTTGTAGTCCCAGCTACTCGGGAGGTTGAGGCTGGAGAATTGCTTGAGCCCAGGAGGCAGAGGTTGCAGTGAGCTGAGATTGTGCCACTGCACTCCAGCCTGGGCAACAGAGTAAGTCTCCGTCTCAAAAAAAAATAAAGAAGAAGACTTCTGGTCAAGTCTCCACCTCTCTGACATCACCAAAAATGGCATAGATGGCCATACCTCAGAGGGATCTATTCATTCATTCCAGGCCCAGTTTTACTTGTACTCATGCTCAATAGTATTTTGTTTCATGAAACTCCTCCTGTAAAACAAAAACTTTTTGAAGGATAAAATAAAAAGACAGGCTGGGCATGGTGGCTCACATCTATAATCCCAGAACTTTGGGAGGCTGAAGCAGGAGGATCGCTTGAGCCCAGAGAGTCGAGGCCACAGTGAGCCATGATCTCACCACTGCACTCCAGCCAGGGCAACATGGACATGGCATCAGAGGGTCTGCTTTAACTAGAGCACTGTTCTCTTCCTGTGCTTCTTGTAGATGTCAGTTAAAATGTCATTTCGGTGATTTCTCTAAAACACTTGTCACAGCCACAGTTTTGCATTTGTGTGATTATTTGAGTATCATCTGCAGAGGACAGGGATCATACGTGCACTCACTCTCCCCCATCTCCAATGCCAAGCATAGTGCCTAATACCAAGTAAGTACTCAAATATTATATTTGTTGATTAAGTGAATAAATGAACACTAAGTCTATAAGAAAGCAACAAAACATCTTTTAAGAGGACTTAAGAGTTGCATCACCTTCACAAATGTATCTTTGGTGGATGCCCAAAGCAGCTGAGCCCCCTTATTAAACTCAAAAAAAAAAAAAAAGTCAATTCAGATGTCTACATAAATTGCTCTGGCCTTCAATGTCTCAAGGCAAATGCTGAGCATCAAAGGCTGAGAGGCTAAACACACACACCCTCTGTATATAAAGCATACCTACTGGTTGCTAAGTAACAGTTGTTTTTGGTATTTCCTGATACTGTTGCTGCTACATAGGAAGCACTTCGGAAATACCAGTCAAATAAAAAAGAGCAACACTTCACAAGACTCTTAAGTATGAATGAAACAGTAACTATACTTAAACTGTGGTGTTTCATATAAACCTAACACCAAATGCAGAAGCAAAGAATCTCTAAGTGGCAAAGCCCTCAGCTAGTAGCTTCACTATTTTAGATCTCACACAGGAAAAATTCCATATAGATTTGTACTAAGACTATTTGAAAGAAATAGATCACAAATCAAGTGACCTGAGAGCATTAAATAAGAACTTCAAAATGCCACATGGAACTATTTCCCAAACTCTTAAGAATATAAAGAATTAGGACTTCCTGCCCCCTCCAATACAAATACAAATTATATCTGTACTTTAGAGACAAATCAAGTCCCATTTCATCCATAAATGACTTCTCCACCCTCTGACCTACTATAGCACTTAAAATCTGTACCACATATTTTGCATTTAAACAAATGTTCATTTTATTGCTTTCCTAATAATTTCATGTGTGCAGTCTTTTATTTCTTTCATATCCTTTAAAGTGTATAATGCTGTAGATGCTTAATAAATATTTATTAAATTGGAATGAAATTATAGTTTTGAATGAATTTTGGTATACTCACACATTTTATTCCCAAATAACATCATTTTCAAAAACAGTTCACATGCCTCAGTTTTAGCTCCATCATCATCAGATTAAAAATAAAGTCGTTATCCAACCACGATCAAATAAGGCTTACAGTTTTCTTAGTATCACTCATTTAAACTCAAATCAGGGGAGGTTTTCCAGTGCCATAGTGTCTTTTGAAGTCTAAGTCCAGGCTATTAGAAACACCTGCCCCTACTTTCTTCAATGCAGCAAATTTCACTTGAAATATTTCTCAAACCTAGTCAGTCTTAGGAAGATTTCTTTCTGCAGAAAACTTGTAAGACACAAAGTCTAAGCTCTAGAATATACTAACCATACCTCACTCACAACTGGGAAGCAAATTCCCCAGAAAAGGATCAGTTCAAGATGTACAGTTAAATGAGTCTCACACCTATAGAACCATGGAACAGAACAGAAAACTCAGAAATAATGCCACACACCTACAACCATCTGATCTTCAACAAGCTGGCAAAAAGCAAGCAATGGGGAAGGGACTCCCTATCCAACAAATGGTGCTGGGATAACTCACTGGCCATACACAGAAGAATAAAACTGGATCCTTGTATTTCACAATATACATAATGGGTTAAAGATTTAAATGCAAAGACCTCAGTCAGGCACAGTAGCTCATGCCTGTAATTCCAGCACTTTGGGTGACTCAAGGCAGATCTCTTGAGCCTAGGAGCCAGAGACCAGCCTGGACAACATGGTAAAACCACATCTCCACAAAAAATACAAAAATTAGCCGAACGTGGTAGTGCACACCTGTAGTCTCAGCTACTTGGGAGGCTGAGGTGGGAGGATCACTTGAGCCTGGGAAGTCGAGGCTGCAGTGACCTGCAGTCACTCCACTGCACTCCAGCCTGGGTGCCAGCGAGGCCCTGTCTCAAAATAAAATAAAAGACCTCAAACTATAAAAATCCTAGAAGAAACCCCAGGAAATACACTTCTTGACATTGACCTTGGCAAATTTTTGGCTAAGTCCCCATAAGCAACTGCAGCAAAAACAAAAATTGACAAGTTGGAACTAATTAAACTAGAGCATCCACACAGCAAAAGAAATTATCAACAGAGTAAACAGTCAACATACAAAATGGGAGAGAATATTCCCAAACTATGCATCTGACAAAGGTCCAATATCCAGAATCCCTATGAAACTTAAATCAACAAGCAAAAGACAAGCCCATTTTTTAAAATGGCCAAAGGACATGAACAAACACTTCTCAGAAGAAATACAAAAAAAAAAAAAAAAGGCCACGACATATAAGCAGCCAACAAATATACGGAAAACATGATCATGACTAATTATCAGAGAAATGCCAATCAAAACCACAGTGAAATACCATCTCATACCAGTCAGAATGGCTATTATCAAAAAGTCAGAAAACAAGCCCTGTTAGGCTCCGTTGAGAAAAGAACACTTATACACTGTTGGTGGGAATGTAAATTAGTTCAGCCACTGTGGAAAGCAGTTTGGAGATTTCTCAAAGAACTTAAAGAGCCACCATTTCACCCAGCAATCCCATTGCTGAGTATATAACCAAAGGAAAACAGACCATTATACCAAAAAGACATATGCACTTGTATGTTCACGGCTGAGCTATTCACAACAGCAAAGACAAGGAATCAACCTAGGTGACCATAATGGTGGACCGGACAAAAAAATGTGTATGTACCCTATGGAATACGATGCAGCCACAAAAAAAAGGAGAAAATCATGTCCTTTGCAGCAACACAGATGGAGCTGGAGGCCATAATCCTAAACGAATTAGCACAAGAACAGAAAACTAAATACCATATGTTCTCACTTATAAGTGGGAGCTAAACATTGAGCGCACTTACAAGTGGGAGTAGAAACATTGAGCGCCCATGGACATAAACATGGGAATGGTACACAGTGTAGACTACTGGAAGGAGGGGAGAGATGCGGGATATGGGCTGAAAAACTGCCTACTGGGTTCTTTGCTCAATACCTGGGTGCAATACACCCAAGTGAGTAACCTGCATGCGTATCCCCCATATCTAAAACAAAAGTTTATTTTTTTTAAAAGAGTCTCTACGATCAATAAAGCAGATAAAGTGTATCACTGTGGAAAGCGCAAACGTCAAGAACATGTTATAATTAAGCGGCTGCCATTCAAGATTCCCAAGGCTCCCCATCCCTGCCAGTCCTGAAACATCTCGATCAAGACCCTAGAGAACGCATCCACAGGTGACCCAAGCCTGGGGAAACGTCCTCTCTACAGCAACAGGCTCTAATTCTGGTCTCGCTCCCCTCACCCCATCCTAGGCTACAAAGGCCCCGGCGCTATAAGCGCGGCCTGGGAGGCCGGGTCGGTCAGGAGCGGAGAGTGGTGAGCTGGGGACACTGAGGGAGATGCCGGACAGGGAAGACGCGTGGACCGGGGAGCAACGCCAGAGGCGGAAGACGCTCCTCTCGGGCCGCCACCGCACGTGCCTGGCGAAGTGCCGCGGAGCCCCCCAGAGGCCAGACCGCGGGTCGATCCCGAAGGGGTCGCGCAGCAGTAGGCGGTGTAGGGGGCAGGCGAGTGAGGACCTCACCGTTTCTCCCCAGAGGCCGGCGCCGCCGCAGTCCCGCAGTTGCTAAGGAGAATGCTCTTCCGGGTCACGGGCGCGGAGTTCTAGAGAGCGACGGTGGCCGGGCGAGGCCGAGAGCGAAGTGCGCGGGGCGTGTGCTCGGTGGAGGAGCTGGTAGTCGGCGGTTCAGCTGCCGCAAGGGCGAAATGGCCAGGCCAGGGGCCGCTGCGCCTTCTCCGGCCTCGCTCGTGGGGACAACTGGCTGCAACGGTTGGCTCCCAGTGGGCGGCCTCTGAGACGCCTTGTGCCAGGCGCGGGCTGGCTCCGCGCCCCTGTCTCACAGGCAGGAGCCTTCCAGACCCAGCTCCTGAACCTCCAGGCTCTGCTCCACTGGGCCAGGTCTTGCACGGCAGACACCGCCGGCCCCTTTCCTGTGACAAGGCTTTGCTCATTCTTTCGTTTACTTACTGCTCATTTATTGGACAACTGCTTGGGGCGAGGTGCAGTGCTGGCACTGGGGATACAGAGATGGGCAACCCCCGCGTGGTCCCTGCCCTCAGGATGCGAGGCTGATGGCAGAGCAAGCAGATGCCGTCTCCGGGATGATCGGAGGAAAGGAGACTAGGGGAGCCTGCCCAAGGGGCCCACCCCGACATGGGTGGGGAGCAGTTGATGATGGAGACGTCGACCTAGTAGAAAGGGTAGGGAAGAGGGTTTCAGGTGAGAGAAGAAGCGCAGTTGAGAAAGCCCCTTACAGTTCAGTGTGGCCCGCCCAGGGAAGTGTGGAGAGGAGACCATCGCTAAGCACGGGACCTAGGAAACACCCATATTGTAGATGTGAGCAAAGGAAAGAGAAATCCAAAGAGCAGCCAGAACGTTCGGGAGAGCTCAAGAGGAAAGAATGCCAGTGAGGGGATGGCCGCCATTCTCAAGCTATGGAGATCCAGTGTCCATTGGTGACCATAGAAAAATCAAACTTCCCTTTGGGAGGCCGAGGTGGGCGGATCACCTGAGGTCGGGAGTTCAAGACCAGCCTGACATGGAGAAACCCCGTCTCTATTAAAAATGCAAAATTAGCTGGGCGTGGTGGCACATGCCTGTAATCCCAGCTACTCGGGAAGCTGAGGCAGGTGAATCGCTTGAACCTGGGAGACGGAGGTTGTGGTGAGCCGAGATCGCGGCCGTTGCACTCCAACCGGGGCAACAAGAGTGAAATCTCCGTCTCAAAAAAAAAAAAAAGAAAAAAGAAAAATCAAACTTCCGAGACCAGTCTGGCGAACATGGCGAAACCCCGTTGCACTACAGAAAAAAAAGGTTGGGGGGGGAGGAGATACGGGAGGGCAAGGCAGACAGGGCAGAGACCAAACTTCGAAAATAGAATGTGGACAGATGCTTGAGTCTGTATGGAGTCCACCACCATATGCTCCATATTGAAACAAGGAAAAGAGATTAAATTGTTCCTGTATTTCTTTTTTCTTTTTCTTGCCTTTTTTTTTTTTTTTTTTTTTTTTTTTTTTTTTTTTTTGAGACAGACTCTTGCTCTGTCGCCCAGGCTGGAGTGCAATGGTGCGATCTCGGCTCACTGCAACCTCCACCTCCTGGGTTCAAGCAATTATCCTGCCTCAGCCTCCCGAGTAGCTGGGACTACAGGCACCCGCCACCACGCCCAGCTAATTTTTGTATTTTTAGTAGAGAGGGGGTTTCACCGAGTTAGCCAGGATGGTCTCAATCTCCCGCCCACTTTGTTGTCCCAAAGTGCTGGGATTTACAGGCGTGAATCACCGCGCCCGGCCAATGTGTTGCCGTAGTCTAAGCAAATTCAGGGTTCCCCGTAATAATTGTGAGCTCCATGAAGGTGGAAAACTTTGCATCTGCAGTACCTGCCACACGCATAGGCCTCAATCAATGTTTGCTTAAAGCCTAAATGAACCCAAGGAACCTCTGCTTTTTAATGTTCACACAGATCTTTCTAGAGCCCTCAGGAAAACTGTGATTTCAGCAAAACTTGTCTTTGAAATGTAGAGGGTAGAGGAAGCCCAGCAAGGACAGGAGGCAGAGAGTGTCAGGGGTCCAGGAACGCAGTGGATAGGAGAGGGGCCAGTGGGGACAGGAAGGGTAAGACCCAGAAGAGGAAAAGAACAAAGGATTGAAATAAAATCTGTGGCTGGACAAAGTGGCTCACGCCTATAATCCCAGCACTTTGGGAGGCCAAGGTGGGCTGATCACTTGAGATCAGGAGTTCGAGACCAGCCTGGCCAACATGGTGAAACCCTGTCTCTACTAAAAATACAAAAAATTAGCCAGGCACGGTGGTGGATGCCTGTAGTCTCAGCTACTCGGGAGGCTGAGGCAGGAGAATTGCTTGAACCTGGGAGGTGGAGACTGCAGTGAGCCTAGATTGGGCCACTGCACTCCAGCCTGGGTGACAGAGCAAGACTGTCTCAAAAAATAAATGAAAAGAAAATCTGAGATTTCAGGACTAGAAATAGGAGGTAAAGCCAAGGAAACCAAAAATAATTAAAAGTAGGAATAGAGGAGCAAGGACAAGAGCAGAGGAAGTAGGGCTGAGACCATTATTTTACTTAAGTTCAACGGACAAATCTCATTTTGATTGGTCGTTTGTCAAAGTGTGATGCCTGCCTGTGTATAGGCTACAGGGCTAGGGTGGACATATCACCGTGCCCTCATTTTTTTTTATTGTTGGGGGTGGGGGTACGAAGTCTCACTCTGTCACCAGGCTGGAGTGCAGTGGTGCAATCTCGGCTCACTGCAACATTTGCCTCCCAGGTTCAAGCGATTCTCCTGCCTCAGCCTCTCAAGCAGCTGGGACTACAGGCGCGTGCCACCACGCCCAGCCAATTTTTGCATTTTTAGTAGAGACAGGGTTTCACCTTGTTGGCCAGGATGGTCTTGATCTCTTGACCTCGTGATCCGCCTACCTCGGTGTCCCAAAGTGCTGGAGTTATAGGTGTGAGCCACAGCGCCCAGCGCACTGTGCCCTCTTAAGTGATATGAGCCCTGACTTCCTCGCATGGGCTAAAGGAAGATCACAACTCTGTAGTAGACTTGGGGCAAGAGGCTTGTCCCACTAGCATACGTTCAGTCCATTACTTCAGTATGTTCCTATTATAGCAAGTATTACAGTAAGTTCCCTGAAAAGAGATAGAAGTAATACTCTCTGAAAGACAACAGATCTCTCCATAACAGATGTGACAGGTTATCTGTGTCAGCAAACCGATAAATTCAAAATGTATGGCTGAAGAATTTAGAAACACCCAAATATGGGACAAGGGGGTTATATTGGTCCTTTGGGAGTGCTATAACACAATATCATGGATTGAGTGGCTTATGAACAACAGAAATTTGTTTATCGTGGTTCTGAAGGCTGTGAAGTCCAAGATCAAGACACTAGCTGATTCCATCTCTGGTGAACCATTTCCTGGTTCATAGATGGCCTTCTTGGCCTGTAACATGACAGGCTAGCTAGCTAGCTAGTCTCTCACAGGCCTCTTCTTAGAAGAGCACTAATCCCATTAGTAAAAGCTCCACTCTCATGATCCAAGTACTTCCCAAAGTCCCCACCTCCAAATACCATCACACTGGGATTAGGGTTTCAACATACGAACTTTGAAAGAACATAGACATTCAGTCCATAACAGTCTGTTATGAAGTCCAAGGCTTTCTGGAAGTTTAGGGCTTATACACAATTATGGTTGCCCCAGAACCTCTCAGTCCCAGTCTGACCTGAATTCCTAACCACCACCACCCCTAACCCAGCCTTCTGGACTAACATCTACCCAGTCACAAAAGCAGACACCATGCGGTCACCCCTGACTCCACTTTCACTCATCACCATGCCCACACCCTAACAATCCAGTCCCTGAGCAGGTTCTGAGGATTGTCTCCTCCCCACCCAATTCCACTGCCACCAAGGACGGCGAAAGAAGCAAATAACCAAGCAACTCAGGGTCAATAACAAGTGTTGCAACGTCAGAGATGAGTCAAGGTGATAAAGGTGGGGGGTGTGTGTGTGAAAGTGTAATAACCAAATCAAACACCAAAACTCCAAGGAGCTAAGATAGAATACATTCATTCAACATATTTTAGTTGCCTTTCACATGATAATTTTATCATAAAGGCAGCAAAAGATAATGAAAGGACTATTAAAAAGGGTAAAGAAAAACTAAGAATCAAACACATTCCAAGAACCAAAGTGAAGCAGGATATGCTGGCCTTTTCAAGTCCCCGGTTCTGTTGAGGGATACGTTAAAATGCCAGGAGCCTGGCCTTTACCATGGCTGAGAGTGCCATGGCGAATAGAAAAAGCGTCTCATCATTCCCATATCCACTTGTTTTTGGCGTCCTCAATTACAACAACTACACCCACCCAGACCACTAATTCCAACATACAATTTTGGTCTGATTAAAGTCTATTTTTGCTCTTCTCTCAATTTAAACGTAATGTTTTTTTAAAAATTCATTTTCTTTTTTCTCTATATAGTGTTCTTTTTTCCTCTTAAAATTTTTTTTTCTTTTTTTTTTTTTTTTTTTTTTGAGACGAAGTCTTGCCCTGTCGCCAGGCTGGAGTGCAGTGGCGTGATCTCGGCTCACTGCAACCTCTGCCTCCCGCGTTCAAGCGATTCTCCTGCATCAGCCTCCCAAGTAGCTGGGACTACAGATGTGTACCACCATGCCCAGCTAATTTTTGTATTTTTAGTAGAGACAGGGTTTCACCATGTCGGCCAGGATGGTCTGGATCTCTTGATCTTGTGATCCGCCTGCCCCAGCCTCCCAAAGTACTGGGACTACAGGCATGAGCCACCGTGCCCGGCCTTAACTTTTAAAATCTAAATCCTATGAGAATATTTCTTTTTCTTTGGCCTCTGAGATCTTAGCTTAATTTCTCTTTTACCTTCTAGCTCCTATTTAAAATGTCATCTTTTTAAATATTTTAACCTATTAATTTTATTTTATGTGGATGTTATCAACATATTTTGCTTAACCTTTTAGGTTTAATTTTTTGTTTGTTTGTTTTTTAGTGCTTTCCTCTTTATTTTCTTTTTAATTTCATATACACTACTTTAAAAGTGGATTTTATGCTTGAACCCAGGAGGCAGAGATTGCAGTGAGCTGAGATTGTGCCATTGCACTTCAGCCTGGGAGACAGAGCAAGGCTCTGTCTAAAAAAAATAATAAAGTGGATTTTA